TTTATTTTCTATAAAATTTAATATTTAAAAATAAAATTTATCTAAAACAATTAATTACTTTATCCAAAAAATTTAGATACAAAATGTTTTAATTCCTTTTATGTAAACAAAATATTTAAAACATGAAATACACACAATACAACAAAACATGTATTCTCCGACATCTCATTTATCTATATAGTTTATTATTACATCGGACATATATATAATGGACATATATATAATGTATATACATTAATTTTATTATTATTATTATTATTATTATTATTAATATATTGTATGGTCGTATGGTCATATCTACGTATAATTTTCTTTTGATCCATCGAATAGTCACCTTAACATATATTAATATCAATAGTTACTAGTTTAAAATAGAATGGGATTACCAGCAATTGAATTGAAATTAGACCCTCATTAATCTAAAACACATTTCAAAACTTTAAATACAAATTTAAAATAAAGAGTTAACTGATATGTATTTATTATGTATTAAGTGCTATAATCATTAAATAGTAATTTGACATTTGAATACCTTCTGGGAATAACTTTTCAACTTGATCACAGTTTAACCAAACAAATCAAAAGAAAGAAAGACAAGCACTTAAACTCACTACTTAAATCCTATAGACCGAAACAATTAAAAATCATTATTTCATCTTCTAAATTTTATGTGTTATTACTATTATTTTATATCATCCTATGATCTTTATTAGGTACAAAGTAATATCTATATTTATATTAGTCATATTCAATTAATTATTATTTTTTTGAAAACTAGTCTAATTATCAACAACATTTATAATGATATCAAGATTTAATAGAATTACTTATTCTGTTTAAAACGAAGAAAATATGAAATTCTTCTCTAATACCTTTTCTCACTAAAAGTCACTGTTCTAGTTCTAGATATTATTTCTTTTACTAAAATCGTTGTTATCACTTAACTAACATTTTAGGACTGCAAGTTTTGTGAAGAACACTTTTCTTAATCCAATACAAAAACTAACTTAAACATCTGGTAATCTCTTTAGTGAAATAAATTCTTTCAAAACGCTCATCTCCATATTTAACAACTTTTAATATTTTAAGGGTTATTTTTTTTTTCCATCCAAAATTTAAGGATTCATCGTGTGGTATTCTTCACTCCCTTGCTTACGTTATACACCAGCATGAGTTTCAAAATGTGTTTTTTCTTTTTCCTATTTTTTGAATTGGACATATTTTTCAATCTAAAAATAATTTCCAAAACATTCAATCTAAAATATAAAAATATTTTGTGGAGTGAATATTTTATAATATATTTTCAATTTTACCATCTTCATAGGAGGTGCACAAAGACGTAGAAGATGGAGGTGCACGGACCACTGTTGTAGGAAGACACAGGGGACTGCGAGGGAAAGAGAGATGCAGGAGAAAGGGAAAATGAAAAGAAGAGATGTCTAGGATTTTGACTTTGACTGATAAGTAAAGTTGGTATTTTTCAATTTAGGGGGTGCATTAAGAAAACATGGAGCAGGAAGAAAAGCTCCCCGAAATTCTGCATGATGGGCTTTCTATTCCTCAAATGAAACCCAAGTAACTAAATTAATGTTCTGGAGCCAATACGAGGCAGCTATTAAAGTTGCCACGTGTCTCAAACATAGAACTCTCCAACACCTTCTTTATCCAATGATGCCCCTGTAATCCAGATCTTCATTATTCCTCTGTTCATCTCAGGTGTTCTTGTAGCACCCTCACACGTTGCACTTCTTACTACACCTTTTACACATGTCCTCTTCCATGCAAACCCATCATCTCCACCTCTTCCAATCCCCAACCCCTCTTCTTCTTTTTAACAACAACATGCATTCCCTTCCACACCTCACAATCTGCATTCTACTGTTACATTACACCACTTCAACAAAATTACTTACCAAACACCAATACACAACAACAACATGGCGTCTCAACAGTTGTCTCGAAGAGAAAACACCACCACCGAGAGACGGGTTCACCTTGACAAAGACACAGTTCCCAATATGGCTACCCACTTTGAGAACCTTGCAGGGAAAACTAATAAATCAGGTATCGACGAAAATAGGAAAGAGCCACCGCAAGCGTTACAAGGTGGAAATCAGGTCAAAGAGCGTGCAGGGAAAGCCACTGGGGATGTTGGTGGACGTCGGAAAGTGAAGGGTGAGGATCCCAAAGAGAAGGTAAGTGACCATGCAGCAAATGTAGTTGGAAACGAAGAGAGAGAAGGTTATGGCGGTGTTCGTGATGTTGGGAAGTTCGAAATGAAAACTGAAGGGGGAGACGGAAGGAAGAAGGATAGAGAAGAACTGGAAACACGAACCAGGGAGGTTAAAGGAAGAACTCAAAGAAGAAGAGAAAATGAAGGACAAGTAGTGGCAGAGAAAGGAAGAGGAGTAAAACTTGGTGCTAGTGCAACCACGGCTAATGCTAGTACTTTGGAAAAATGTGATAGTAATAGTCGGAGACTAAGAGAAGAGAGTGAAAGTGAAAAATCTACGTTGGAACAGGTTTCCAACAGCAGAGATCACGATTCGATAGACCTGAAGAAGAGGTGCGAGAGAGCGAAGCAAGCAGCGAGCGAGACACTGAACAGTGCAGCTCAAATCGCAACACAAGCGAAGGACGCAACGGTTGAGAAGGGTCAACAAGGCTGTGCTGTAACCAAAGACACCATTTCAAGTGCCGCAAATACCGTTTCGGAAAAAACTGCGCCGGTGGCAGAGAAGGCCAAAGGGTATACATTTCAAGTGACGGAGAAGGCCAAGAGTGCAGGAGGCACGACAGCGAGATACGTCGGAGAGAAAGCGGCTCAAGCAAAAGATGTTGCCGTGGAAGGTGGGAAGAGTGCGGCGGGGTATGCTGCGAAGGTGGCTGCGGATTTGAAGGACAGGGCGCCGGTGGTGGGGTGGGCGGCGGCACATTTTTCGACGGAGATGACGGTGGAGGGAACGAAGGTCGCGGCCCATGTGGTTGAGGGGGCGGCAGGGTATGCGGGGCAAAAGGCAGCTGAACTTGCTTCAAAGTCAGTAGGCGCTGTTAAAGTTTTGGCTGCTTCAGCTGGTGAGTCTGCTAAGGGATACACTGCAAGGAAGAAAGAAGAGGCACAGAGGGAATTGAAGGCCAAAAGAGCATCTCAGGTTCGTTCAATATAATCACTCTTATTCGCATTATACCATCCTAAAATCTAATTTAGCCTTAAAAATCAGTTTTTATAGATTGTGACTCAATATCTGGTTGGGTTCAGGTTCTTATTCAATCAAAATTAGATTTTTTAGTTCAATAATCTGCGTTAGCCATTTTACGTTAGTAGTACTGATTTCTAGTCAGAATTGGTACTATTTTGGTTATGCTCAAAACATAGACAGAGTTTTAGATGTTTATGATTCTGTTTTATGATATGGTATCTCTACCAGATACCAGATAGACAGATGAACTTTGCAAACCTCATGAATCTGAATGTACTGAGAATTGGTACTTTGATTTAGTTAGCAGAAGAGAGGCAATCGGAAGGAATGGGCGAAACTGTAATCCAGAATGCAGAAAAGCCGAAGGAAGGTGGAGGAAGCTCTCAGCAGGAGGGAACTGGAAGCGATGTGCTGACAGAAATAGGCGAAACAGAGAGTAATGTTGGGGCGAAGGTGAAGAAACCATTTGATGGAGGGACCAAAGAAGAAAGCGGAAGTGAGACAAGTGGAGGGCAAGAAGAAGGAAAGGATGTGAGTGGTCAAACATTGAAAAGCACAGATGAGAAGTTGGGTGATGCCGCACAGAGAGGAGCTGCTAGAACACTTCTCCGGTAACTGATCGTGCCGAACATGATGAAGGATCACAGGGTGCTTGACTTGAGCTGAGTTTACGTCAGCCATTGTATTTTAAGGTTTAGTTTTATGCCATGGTCTCTGTAATTTCCATGTTTTGGGTTTGTTCTATGAACTTTTGTGACTGAATAAGAATCTCCTTTTTGAGATGATCAAGAACTGTCAAAATATGCGTGTGGTTTCCTAAGCATGCAGAATAACGTGCTACAAAAATACTAAAAGAGTTCTCCAAGTATCATTCATCCATGGTTTAAATATATTTTACAAGCTACCATCGAATATCAATTAAACTTCCTTGTTGTAGTTACTTGCACGAATGATGACGGTTAAAACATTTATTAATGTTAAAATATGATCGGATACAAATTAAGGTGAATAATTTGACGTGCAACTAATACTTTATAAAAGAGTTTTCATGGTTACCATTAGTGGAAATTTATCTTGTTTTAAAGAGAGACCGTCAGCATGAACTGGAAAAGCAAGCAGAAGGAAGGAATTCAGATTAATGTACAAGTTATTGTGTATTGAACAAGAATAATAATTATTAGTTGAAACCCTGTTAAAGTCAAACAGAGAACTAATGAATACTTGCCTTTCACCATGTTTTTGAGGCTTTCAAGAGTCCCAAATGGGGCCAAAGGCAGGGATGTTAGCCCTCTTGCATGCCCTAAGGACGTCTCTACTGCCTTCAGGGTTGCTTGTAACAATAACAACTTCAACATTCCACCTAACGGCAGCATCCACGCTCATCTCAGCTACATTGGGACGACCAGAAAGTGCTGTGTCATGAACCATAACTTTCTCTTTCGGGTATTTGTTGACCAATTCTGTTATCTCCTTTCCAAAGTTCAGTTCAATATCCTTGGCCACCCAAATCAGGCTCACATCAGCTTTAATAGGCTGCAAAAGAAATGATAAGAACACACAAATCCCTGAACCTGTGGCAACCAACAACACCCTTTGATACAAATTTACTAGGTAAGGCAAGCCTGCAAAATGCATGGTTCGGACCCAAAGATGCTTTGGTGGATTACTAACCAATGACTTGGTAAAGTCACCAACTGCTCCAGCAAGCATCATGTGCTCTTTCTTTCCATCAGATATGATCCCAAAGGCATGCCATTCTGACAAGGGTGAAGGACTCACTCTGCCTAGTAAACCTGCTTTGACACCCCCTTCAAACCTGATGATTGAGGCGTGGCTCGATGGAGCTGATACACAAACTTGTACCTTTCTGACACTCAGCCAAGGAATGATGATGAGAATTGTGATAACTAAAGTGAACCAGAACTCTTGCTTCTTGACCACCTTAGACATGGTCAAGTCATAGGTTTGTGAGCTAGGTTCATAGCTTTTGGAGAGGAGAATGAATAGCCAGAGAAGGAGGAGAGCCATCCATCCAGCAAAACGGTGGATTCTCTCAAAAGCATTGTGATGAAGGTGGCGGACAAGAGGAAAAGCTGCTAGGGAAGAGAGTAGAATGAGTGAGAAGACGGTGAAAGCAACTCCAATAATCTCTGGGGAAGTTTTCTCTTTGTTTTTCAAAGTAAGAACTAGGGAATAAACAATCCAGGCCATAGAAGAAACCCCACAACCACTATGGATTCCTCCAACACTTTGAAGGAACGAAGTGGTGGCAGTTTTGATTCCAAGAGAAACACAAGGCCTCCCAATGATCTTCACAGCCAACCAGAAAACAACTCTCAAAACTGCTTCACTTCTACACAGTGTTAGAGCTAGAATGTTCCCAATAGAGAACAGTGTAGCTCTTGTCTTGGCATAAGGGAAATACCCTGCTGCTGAAAGAGCCAACGCCACCAAATTCAAGGCCATGCAAACCATAAATAGCCCTTTGTAGAATGTGAACCCTTGATCCAGCAGAATTATGGACAGCCTTGACCTCTTTGGTGGATCAGTTCTGGAAAGTAGCTTCTGCACCTTAGCACCATTAGTTTTGTCTGATTTTTCTATATCTTGAAGTTCAGCTATGAACTCAACCTCAACATCGCTAGCATCAATGTCAATGTCACAGAAGTGGCTGCTGCCCCTGCTCCGAGTTGGACTGATTGTTTGAGGCTGAGGAAGAACTTTGAATGAATTTGTTCGAGTCCATGGAAGCCAAAGCCAAGTTCTAATTTGTTCCTGCTTTGTTGGTGATACAATTGCAAAGGGGTTGATTCTATCAGGATTGATTTCAAATGCTACCCCGCGACAACTAGAAAACCTGGCTATCTTTATCTCTGTGTTTTCCATTGCTTCCACTATGAATCGATAAACCTATTGGGTTGAATGTAGAAATTATAAATAGATAATATCATAATCCATTGCAGCAATAGTTGGTGGAATTCCTTAAGAGGGTTGCATGTTAGCTCCAACACAAGGCAGGCTTATAATGTGTATGTAAATAAAATAGTATGCAAAAACCACTTACGTGAAATTCTCTTAATTATACAAAATATTATATAATTAAAAGCTTAAGTAATTATTTCACAATGTGTACACTATTAAAAGCTGTAATGTATAGTTGAAGATTCATTAGAAATGGAACATAATAATGTTATCATTATGAACCAACCGTGATCTCAAATTCAATCTTATCTAATAATTAATACCATAGTATTTAACTATATCATCCTAAGGTCAATGCTTAACGAAGTAGATGTGATGATAATTCTTGTTATAGCAAGGTGTGTGTGGTTAGAACTCTTGTTTGTTAGTCATTTATAGTATAGTAATCTTTTGGAAATAAGCACAAGCAGTTTTAAGAAGATTTGATATCAAGACAAATATTAATAAAATGATTATTTAAAATTTCGATCCAGATTAATTTCGTTATGTTGACGTTACTATTACTGCTTGTTCAAACATGATGATAAGCTCTTCCTTTGTACACTGTTTTTGTCTGACAAAATAAACAATAGGAACATTGACTGCACGTTCGAATGTGCAAGAGAAAAAAATTCTTAAACTTATAATATACCCACCAAATCTCTGTGATATAGTTGGTGAGGTTGTTGGCCATAACCATAGGAGATACAAATTCTTCCACTTTACATTATAACATTTTCCGACATATGATACAAACAAAGGAATCTAATTACAGACAATTATATGAACCTCAAGCATCACATTGTCGAAAATTACATATTATTAGTTTTTTTTTCGGATGTTACACCAGACATTACAAACAAGCTTATGTAACAATACTGATATCACAGTACTGATATAGCATAAAATTTGATACTCAAAATGCACCAAGTAAAGGAATACGGAGGGGAAGGAATACTCTGAAGATATTATTACGAAAACTGGAAAGTTCTACGAATAATTCCTATCGCTATCAGAGCAATGTCCAAAAGAGAGCATGAAAAATTATATCAGAGAACAACATTTGCAGAGAAAGAAAACAAAACAGAATGTCCAATACTAATATAAGGTATAAAATCGATTTTACAAGGTAGGATTAGATAACACTGTCTTTTTTCAATAAACTTGTAATAAAGTGTATCGACTCAACATTTAGCTTAAATATAATTGAATAATGCAATAAAAAAAAATCAACTTAATTGGATAATTATGAAAAAAATTATACACTAAACAAACGACATAGGTCAAGTTATTAACTACTTAAATTATTGGAATATTACATAGAAAATTATTTTAGCAACATGTCTCTAGTTAAACATCCCACCGATCAAAATATATAACAATATATCTAAAATCTACAATAAAAATTATAGTTTGATCTGACGGTTAATGAGGTGAGACAAAACTAAGGTGGTGATCAGGTCCCTTAAAATGCGAGACTAATTTCTCTAAGTTCAGACATTCAATAAATAATCCGAGAATTGAGGTTTTATCGAGATAACTCGGAAAATAAAAAACAATTAAAGCATAGTCAAGAAAACCAAAACTCACACAAGTAGACAAATAGATACTATTACTAAAATACAATATACTCATATCTCATATAATCAAAATCATGATCCTAAAATATAGGATTATCATACACAAGAAAAGAGTTAGCTCATCTTACCTGGTTTTCCCATTAATAACATATTGTCCGCCTTTGCACTAAGGCCTTACGGATTTGTTTTTGATACCACTCCAAAAGGCATCTTATTAAGGGATGTATCTTATGTGTATATAAACCCATGTGTATTTAATATTTTATTCGATGTGGAAATTTGTTTGTACCCAACATCAATTCTAATAAATTTTATTTATTTTTGGTTTTCCTTTATGTTTTTATTCTTTTTCCTAATTTTCTTTCTTCAAAACTTACGTCTAACTCCTAGAGAAAAAATATATTTAGTTTAATGATAAATTATTCTTACAAAATATAAAATA